TTACTGGCACTTTTAATGTGCATAGTGCATATATCCAGCATTTTTGTGTGTATGTGCACGTGCATATATTCTGATTTTTAAATGCAAATAAATCCATCCATCCATCCTTAGTTAAAAGTAATTTATTCGATAATGATAAATTTATTATTGATATTTAACAACTTTCATCTAAATTTAATTGAAATAATGATTTATTTTTACATCATTTACTTAAAGTAAAAATGAAGTTCTTGGTTTTAAATTTTTGTTTGGCTAATTATAGTTTCTGACATGAATTTTTGTATTGTTATTTGAATATTTAATTGGTGATATTTTGGAATATTGTAACAAATCAGTTATAAATCTCAAAACTGCATTCATTTTTGTCATTAATAATATGAATTTTTTTCTCAGATGTAACTTTGGAATTATGAATTATTTTCCATATTAATAATTGTATTTGTTTTTTGAAATCTGTCAAAACCAAAGTTTTCTGGCAGAAGAATAATTCCATCCTAATAGAAGTTATAGTTATGACTTTTACCAATGTTAAAATCAATATTTTGCCTCTATTTTACTTGAAATTACTTTTAAAAAGTGTATATTGGAAAGATGTTAAGACATATTTTGAAATATTGCTTCAGGTTCAGACACATTAAACATTGATAAAAAAATCAATTAAACTGAGCTAAGTCTAAAGATGTAAAATAAAGAACATTTCAGGGGTTTTATTGGAAGGTGATAATTGGATAAACAACAACGTAAGTCTTTCAAAATATCAAAGGGAGTGAGGTATAGTTACAGTGACCATACGTCCTTTATTTAAGAGGACAGTCCTTTATTTCACTGCTCTGTCCTTTAACTTTATTTATTTTCTAAAATAGGCATTTTGTCCTTTATTTTGTAAAGTTGACGCAAAGNAAAAAAAAAAGACCGCATTTGCAAGTTTTAAGCATTGATATACCTATCCAAATGGAACCAAGTTCCATCTGTGTGCAGTACCAGTCGTCAAGTTCTTCTTAATTTAGTATCAAAAACATAAAATATTTGAGTAGCCCAAGACATAGGCAAAGATTGAAGTGCCACAGCACTGGCGAAAATTTAAATTTGCTGACTGGAATTCTTTCGGATGATTGACTTTCGGAAAATCGACGCGCTCTACTGTACATACACAACTGGAAAGTTGAAGATGACACTACATTAAGTGACCATAAGTACTTATCTTTTGAAATCAACATTCCTAATCTTAACATTCTAGAGGGACCAAGTTATTGCACCGCCCAGGCGGACTGGGAAAGATGGAGAACATACATTATGAATAAAATTGACATAACTCCCTCACACTCAAGGGAAGAAGCGACGGGAAAAATTGAACAAAATCTCAAGATTATTAAGGACACGTGAGATTGCTATACTGAAATAGAGAGCCAAGATTAAACAGGTCCCCTGGTGGAACAACACTCTGTCAGAACTGAGGCTCAGAAAAAAGTATCAAAAAACTAAAGAGGACACACAAAGGTCGATCTACAAGCAGCAATACTTACAGCTACAAAAAGAATACAAAAACCACATAAAAGATTCTAAATTGAAATCCTGAAGAGAATACTGCACTAGAGCTAGCAAAGACCCTTGGTGGTTTCTTACCAAGTGGAGCTGTAACAAATTAAGAACAACAGAGGCCATGACCACTATGGAAGCTACAGAAGGACATACAAATGATCTGCAAACTACCATCAAAGCATTATTTCAAAAAATTTCTGTAGTAGACAACGAAAATGAAGATCAACATTCATAGAGAAATCAGAGACAAAATAAACGTAGATATTAACATCCCCTTTCACACGCGAAGAGGTTGACAAAATAATCACTAACCTGAATAACAGACCCCCGGGATCATCAAACAAATTTGGAACATAAACCCAACACTACTTTTTACCTCTTCAATACTTGCCTACATTTTAGCGTCTTCCCCACTGAGTGGAAAAGAGCCAAGTTGGTACTTGTCCCCAAAGTAAATAAACCTGGAGACTACAGACCGATTTCCCTGTTAGCTGCACTAGGGAAAGTAATGGAAAACAGACTCTCTTGGCATCTAGAATCAAACTACTGAGTGACAATCAGTATGGTTTTAGGAAGCAAAGGTCAACCATTCATGCTATCACTATGGCAGTCAACAACATCAAAGCACTACTTGACAGGAATAAATATGTATTGGGACTTAGCTTAGACATCCAGAAGGCATTCGACAATGCATGGGGGCCACTGATTCTTTATAGACTCAGACAGCTACAATGCTCCATGAACATCTATCCACTGATGAAACAATACCTTCACGAGACAACTATCACCATCAAAACAGGGAATATTACTTTTGAGAATGAGTATAATAGGGGCTGTCCACAGGGCTCAGCCTGTGGGCCACTTCTGTGGTGCGTCCTATTCAATGATTTTTTGACCCAGAACTTCAGTCAAGACAAAATTATTGCATATGCAGATGATGCTCTCATGCTGTTGACAGGTAACCCTAGAGCAGAACTTGAAAGGAAAGCAGGCTATGTCAAAAATAAGTGAATGGGGAAGGAAAAACAAGCTGATCTTCAATCCAGGAAAAATAATAGGAATCATCTGGAACAAGAGAGTACAGACAATTCGGTTGGGGTCAGAAAGTATAAAAATAAACATTAAATATATAGGGGTTACACTTGACTTTTAGCGACAATGAAAGATTAACCCTGTTTTCTTACAAATCTCTCTCTAATGTTCTCAATATGTGTGGTCTAAAGAAGCTTAAAGCAACTGGGAGTTTGACTCTCATGCTATGGACTCAGTTTATAACATGATATTTATTCCAATAATTACCTACACCTGCCCAGTTTGGGAGGAAGCCACTAAGAAAATTTATAATAAAAGGAAACTAACATCAGCCCAAAGGAAAGCATTACTGATTCTCACTAAAGGTTACAGAACGACTCCTACTAACAGCCTCAAAATCAAATATCATGCATTAAAATGGAAACTGAAACACGATAATGACATCATCATCGAGGATGAAAGAGTTAAAAAAGACGACTTTGTCTGTCAATGGTTTAGAGTAAAATTATGTTCTTTTACTTGGGTTATGGATAAGTGCATAAGGGATCTTCCATTCAATCATATAGACGTATACACAGATGGATCTAAAATTAACGATAACCATATGCTGGTGGCAGTTATGTAATATATCATAAAGATACGGAAATCGATAATAAACTCTCAAATTAGACGATAGATGCAGTGTTACACAAGCAGAACTGCTGGTAATTGCCACTGCAGTGGAAGACTGTATTTCTAAACACCCACATCATAATGTTAACATCTATTCCGACAGCCAAGCAGCTATTTACATAATTCAGAACAAGGATACTCACCTGATTACTTATAATATTAATACTATGCTACATAACTCAAATTGTGCCTTCTCCCTTAATTGGCTGAGAGGACACCAGGGAAATATTGAAAGAGCCGACAAATTAGCAAAGAAAGCAGTCACCAACCAAGAAAACACCATAATATACAGCAAATTATCACGCTATAAAAAAAAACTATATTTTAAAGGAATAGCAAATATTTTGGGACAACTTCCATAATGAAACAACTTACTCATACTTACCAGACATTAAAAGTATCTTCAAGATGAATTGGCTCAAAATAGATCATAATACAACCAATTTATAACAAACCATGGCTGCTTTCAAAGCTACTTACACAGGTCCAAAATCACTGATAATGATAAGTGTTCTATTTGTGACAAAACCAATAGAAGCGACCACTACCTGTTCGACTGCCCTATAGTTGAAAAAGAAAGGAACAATTTACAGCAAATTTTAGGCTACAAACATGTAGATTGGTCATGCAATAAAAGCCTTCTCTTGCAAGATGAAGAAATCTACAGGTCCTTCAAAACTCTTATTGACTTGTATTTCAAATGGACTTAAGTGCAAAAATTACACTGAATATTGTCGGTTAACTGGGAAGCCACCCAGCCCTTTATTGTGTTAAGTCCCATGCATTGCGGGTAGTGACAGTGACCACATCCACACTCCCGCCTATTCCATTCATTTACTGTTACGCGCATTTATCATCTTTTTTGTACAATGATAACTGTATGTAGTTTACCACCCAGTTGTGCTAAGCGGTACTGGGTATGTACATATCACTTGTACCTAATTAATAATAATAAAAAAAAAAAGACCGCATTTGCAAGTTTTAAGCATTGATATACCTATCCAAATGGAACCAAGTTCCATCTGTGTGCAGTACCAGTCGTCAAGTTCTTCCTTTCCAAAAACCAATGGCGACATCTCAGTTGCTTGCCATAATCTGAATAGCTGGTATATTATGCTAATTTTGTGTGCATAAAGTTTCAACATTTTATATAAGACTTTCTGTGCACTTTTGTATAACAACATGCTCTGGCTAGCAAGCTGCCAGTGAGACTGTATCAGATTGACATTGAGAAGGTAATGAATGTGCATACAACTTCTCTGAATACACTCGGTCACTTCCTCATCTTGCCATCTGCAAGATTCCTGCCTATCTTGAACTCGTAAAGGGGTCTGATGGTTGACTTGTTTGGATACCACTACATCACTGTACATGTAAATTCTATGATAGTAGTGTAAATATGACTCCATGTTCAACAATGAAGATAACACACTGTTAGAAACTGAAAACCATTGCTGTTGTCTACTTAGGTTCCATAACAGTGCAGTGGCGTACAATCACTGCCATTGCAAATTATGCGTGTGACGAATAGAATATTGATACCATCAGAAATACGTAAGCCCGAAATGTGTACAGTATTCTGTATTCTTGGATTGTGTAATTTTCTTGATTACCAATTAATTTGTTTTTGTTTTAAATTTGTTTTTGCATTAGGAATATTTTTCCTTTATTTTGGATCACTGAATTCGGGCGAAATTCCATTAGATCACGATAACTTTAATAAAAGGATTTTGATGATTTTTTTTTCCTCCCATTAGGTTTTCATGTTTGGTACACTTAGTGAATGGCTACATATTTATAACTACTACTGGTATATCATATTCTGGGCTTTAACAGGTCTGCTGCAATCTACAGGATGGCCTACTGTGGTAGCAATCATAGGTAACTGGTTTGGAAAATCAAGGTAATATATTTTCTTTAAAAAATAGTGATGTGCTAATATATATAATTTGCTTATTTTTTTAAATAAAATATTTCTTAAGTCGAGGTTTAGTTATGGGATTTTGGGGTTCTTCACCTTCTGTTGGAAACATAATGGGAGCTTATATCGCAGCAGCGGTATTACATTATGGCTACGAGGTAATTAATGCTGAATGTTTACTTTTGTGTTATAATTTATTTAATCGTTAAAAATGTAATCAGAAATTTTTATTTTTAGTATGCTTTCTTAATACCTGCTGCTATGACTTTTGCTGGAGGAATCATTGTTTATTTCAGTATTGTTTCATCACCAAGAGAAGTTGGTAAAAAAAGCTTGTTAATTAGAAGATTCCACACTTTTTAAATCAATGATATAATTAAAATTCAATTTACATTAGGTTTACCTGAACCAGAAGAAGGAGAAACTAAAAATACAGATAAAGAACCATTATTAAATCCAGAGTGTGCAGCAATTAACGAAGATTCGGCTCTCTTGTTGCAAGACGAAAGTCTTCAAATTAGGAAACCAAAGGCTATAAATTTTTTCAAAGCTTTCTTACTTCCTGGTGTTCTACCTGTAAATAACTAAAATAATAATAAGTGAATTCCTTACTTTACTGCAGCAATAATAACAACTTCCATTCTTTACAGTATTCCTTGTCCTATGCATGTTTAAAAATGGTAAATTATTCATTTTTCTTTTGGCTTCCATACTATTTACAAAAAGCTTACGGTTGGGAAGAAGCTGAAGCAGACAGCTTGTCGGTGTGGTATGACATTGGTGGAATAATCGGTAAATATGTGCAAGATTTCTTACTTACTTAATTTTCACAAAAGCTTCTTATAATAATAAAATAAAAATCTTTTCGTAGGTAGCATCATAGGTGGAATCATTTCTGTGAGTTTATTTAAAAACGAAACTTGAATTATCTCAATCTGCATTTTCTGTAAATCTTGATATTTTTGTATGCAGGACAAATTAGGCACCCGATCACCAGTTGTTGGATTTTTATTATTATTAAGTCCTGGATCGCTGTATTTATATTACGGTAAGCCGTTAAATTATAAATTCATAATAGATGTGGAAGCTTTACATGATTTATTGTAAACAGTTTCTCCTGCAAACAAGATAATAAATGTCTTCCTGATGAGTGTAATGGGCTTCTTCATCGGGGGTGCTTCCAATTTGATAAGTACTGCCATATCGGCCGACCTGGGTCGTCAGAAAGAATTTAGTGATAATAAAGAAGCTTTATCCACTGTGATAGGTATCATTGATGGAACTGGAAGTGTGGGAGCAGCAATTGGTCAGGTAAATTAATAATTAGTACCATCTATTTCATATAAAAATACATAATTCTGACCATCCAATAAATTTTTCAACAGACTGTTATTTCTGTTATTCAAACCAATTTTAACTGGAAAGTTGTATTTTATCTTTTTATTGCTATGGTAAGTATTTTTACATTTTCCTATTCAAATATGAATTCACTGAGTATGTTTTTTGTCTTTTAAAGGTCATCTTGACGCTAATTTGTATAATAAAGATTGTATATAGGGATACAAAACTTTTGTTTCAAAGATGGAAGAATCAAATAGCTCTGCGCCTACGACAAGACTAAATCAGAGCATAAAAACTATCTGCCAATAATTTAATTGTAAAACAAAGTAATCTGGTATATATTTTTACAATGTGTTAAAATCTCGACATTATTGTCAATAAAAAAATTATTTTTAGTTTATTCTGAATTTTTTATATAGAAAAGACAATCATGTAAGTGAAAAATAAACGAGTTTTTAAAACAATTTGTTTCATACTTAATTTCACTTTATTCCATAATTTGAAACTAATTATATATCAAGGTTTTCTGATGTGTAATAGCAGATTATTAAATGGAGATTTAAAAAAAAAACAAATGAAATCAAAATGATCTTTGTGCAAAATCTGTTCAGTTCTGTAAGATGAAATTTGCATCCAATTACTCTAAAAGAATAATTCCAATCTTGAAAAGAGAGAAATCCCCTGTATTACACATCGAAAAATTCAATAATAATAAATTATTAATAAATTGGCAATATAATCTGCAATAATAAAATTTTTGGGAGTTGGATATTTATAGAACAGTCTGTCTTTCTCAAAGACAGACGACCGGCCAATCTTACACTTTAGTTTTGATCCCAATATTTCACAAAATTGTCCTTGAGGCAATTAAAACTGGCACTTCTTAACCGATCGCCGAAGCGACCACTTCACTGGCATTGGGATTCGTGCTCCTCACCGCCAAATTCATAGTCACGCCGTCCACACTTACTGCCAACTTAGATCTCACTAAGACATCACTGCCACCTCTGTATATACCGGCAAGATAGAGTGTATGAGAACTTTTTCCTTCTGGAACTTTATCCGATCTTTCACATGGCTGCATTCCAAGAAACAAAATTATGTTCTTTACAGCATCTGGAAAAAAATATATAATCAGGGCTTTAGCACTAAGTGATAAGATTAATACAGGTATCACTTGCTAACACGGAATTTGATTAACACTGTAAAATTAATTGTAGCAATTCCTTTATATAAAACCAGAAATTTTTATTAATGCAGCTTTAACAGCTTACTTAACATAAAAAAACATATCTAGTATTGGCAAATTTGCTATTTTAGTGATGAGGGTGATTTCTGATACAGATATGTAGTTCAATTATGATAGTGATGAAATTTCACACACTACTGCTAATGAGATATTGTATTTTTTTGTTTAGAAGCTTATTTTAAAACATTACTTAACATTTCAATTTTGATTTTACACAAACAAAATGTCTGCAGATAATATGCATATTATGTATGCTTTTAAGGTTTCATAAAGGATATAATGCTACATAAACAGTAAAAAATACTCATGGTATATGGGGAAGACTCTCCTAAACATTGTGAACATGAAACACAATGAAAATAAAAAAAACACAAATGTGGTTTTGAGTTTCAGGAAATTTTAAACTAAAGGATATAAACTGTATAGGGGGCACCTAAAAGCTGTTGAAGAAAAAATTCGGGAAGAAGTTGAAAAAATCGACAAACAACAACTTGTGAACTTGCAACAAATCTTTGGGTATGTTTGTAAAGGTGAACAAGTTAAATGCATTACTAACAAGTCAGTCATAAAGTACAAATTCCATTCAGTGCAAATGCTCGATATTGATGACATTTCAAACGAAATTCAGGAAGGAACGAGTTAGCTTACTTTGTTAAGAAAATGGCACCCGGTGATATTAATGTATCTAAATCTACTCGAGCGTTTAAATTTTGGATTAAAATGTGAAATGATAGATTGCTTCAGGAGGACAGTTATTTCTAAGAAAAATATTTTGGATAAGACTGCAATAGTAATATTCATATCTTCAATTTTAGGAACTGCCATTTTGTTGGAAATAAATTGGTCAAAATGTCTGATAAAAGTAAGAATAATGATGACATTCTCATTTAACTCTTTCAACTTTATGAACTTACCTTACCCTTTCACAAACAAGATGCTTTTTTTCCCACCTAATGCATGCAGAACACAAACAAACTGGATAGAGTATAATTTTGTCTGACAAAGGTAGGCACTACAGTTTCATTTTATCTTTAAATTAGTTACTCATTTTTTATCATAATATTTGTTATCTGTAAAATGTTTTCTATTTTAATTTTCTCATTAACTTAAAATTTGTTCTACCGTGTTTCCCTGAAAATAAGACATCCGCAGAAAATAAGACCTAGCACAGATTTTGCTGAATTGCGAAATATAAGACCTCCCCCCTGAAAGTAAGACCTAGCGAAGTTTTTTTTAGTCCTAACGGTCATCAACAGATGGTTGAAAGTGGCCATTGGCTTTTTGAAAGTATAGCCACTGATTGGTCAGCAGACAATTACGCCACACGGCATGATTTGCATAAGACTATGGCTTGGGAATCACAGATTTGCATAACTTTATGGCTGGTGATGGCTAATTGGTCAGCCGGGAATCACGCTACATGACATTTGCATAGTGCTACGGTTCAGTAAGCACTAATTGGTCATCGAGTCCAATGTTGACGCTATAAAAAGGTGACAGTTTGACACACCGGATATACATCACTCTCATCTAAGTTCAACTTGAGAATTTTTTTGTTCAATAATAAATGTGAATTCTTCTTTCTGGAAAAAATAAGACATTCCCTGAAAATAAGACCTAGTGCATTTTTCAGAGCAAAAATTAATATAAGACACTGTCTTATTTTCGGGGAAACACAGTAGTGGGTGGCAATTGTTTGGTTGAGTACTGAAGTATCGCTGTATTTGATTAACACAATTTTGATATACACAGTAATATCAAGGGATACATGTACTTCTAGAGAATTGTATTTAACATACTCCACATCAATCTGAAATTATAAATACAGTAACTAAGAATCACTTTTTATAATTTTTGACTCATTTTGTGCTGTGCCAATTACAGACATATTAAACTTGTTTGTTTGATATATTGGTTATCCCTAGAAACCCCACTTCTAGAATTTTTTACACTACTGCAATTTTCTGACAGCTGGGGAAATTATTATATTTAAAGAAGTAGAGTTGATGATTATAATTAACAAATACCAAATTACTGATATTCATGAAACATTAATTAATGACAAAAGTCAATATGTTATTGGTTTCAGTATTTATCAAAATTCTGGTTTAGCTCAGCTCTACTAGCTACTCTTAACATAAGAATTTTTAATTACTTATGTTTGGTCCTATAACAATTCATATGTAAAAGTAATAATGAATGGGAAAATCATGATGTCCAATACAAATATATTTTATTTCATATTTTCCATATCAAATATAGCAAAAAGACAGTTTAAAAATATTAGGCAAAGAATTCCATTTAAGTATCTGAATTAAGAACTCCAAAAACAGTAAAGAAAAATAAGAAGTTGACTTAAAACACTATTTTGAGCTTTACAACAAATAAATATGAAAATTAGCATTAAAAAAAATGTGTTATTTAAACTCAAATTATACAATATTTTAGCATAATTATTCAGCTGATATAATAAATTGTATTAAATATCACAAGAAACAATTTCCTATTTTAGAGTATAGCCAAAAAATGCACAGTTATTAACAAAATTTTTAAAGAATCAGAGCTAAAATTTTGGAGGGATGGGTAAGTGCATTTTAAAAATTCTGATTTACTCCGAAATCTTTTCACAGATAAAAAATTTTAACACATGATCCTAGAGAAACAAATTAATATCAATTATNATAACTTGACCTTTGGAGACATCATTAATATAAATAATTTTTATGGCCGTTGAATAAGAAGTGTTTCTTTCACAAGAAATGTATAAAATTAGTGCTGTATTAGACTTACGGTACCTAATTTACATACTGTGCAGACGATAATAAACTCAACTTACTAGCCTAAAATCTCCGTAGCGTGTTGCCAGGCGGCAGAAAGCATATATATAATTATAATAAAGTTACAATAAATTAAGTTAATATATAATTATATATACAGTACCTAATTTATATATAATTAATATATAATTATATGTACAGTACCTAATTTATATATAATACTAAACAGACGATAGCAAACTCAATTTAGCCGCTCTGTAGCGTGGCACAGGGTCGGAGGTAAGTAGTTCGGCTGCTCATCCACTATTGGTCCAGACTCTATCAATCTTCTCACGAAATGACATTATAGGAGGTACGTTATACGAAAGTTTCTACAATTTTTTTGCTACGTTATAGGAATTGTCGTTATAGGAACGTACGTTATAGGGGGGGGTCGACTGTATTTATTAGTTAGTTACTTGTTAGGCCTACAGGTTTCTCATTGGACTCCACAATCTACTAAACTTCTACTTTATACTAAGGAGTCTCCACTAATCAAAAATTTGAGAAAAGGTTGCTGGAAATTTGTGAAATTTATTCTGTTGTAAAGTGTAAATTTCTATTGTAATTATAATCATATATAAATACATAAATTTATATATTTAGACTTTATAAAAATTAAGACAAGCAAAAACAAAAAACAAAAGTTTCATTTTCAAGAATCATAAAACTGCAAGTGCATTTCTAAGAATGTGTGTGAAATACAGAAGGAAGCCTACTACTCAGCACAAATGACATTGTCTCAATTTTGCTCTATAACTTTTATTTTTATTGATATCAACAGAAAATAAGCAGTAAGTTGCAATTTGTCACTTATAGGCCTTCATATATTTCTTTTTATAAAACAAATCCTTTGAATACAATTTCTGTTCAAGAAAGTATGATTTAAATGTAATTTGTACACATTACTAATAAAGCAATCCAAAATTTATTTATGCTGATTGATTTCTGGGGAAGACTTAATACAAGTTTCTAAAATAATTTATTTTTTACAAGTAAAGTAATTTTGAAAAGAAAAATTGTAATTGAACACAACTAATTTTCATAATCAACTGCCTAGATAAAAAGTAACAATTCCATATATTCTTGCAAAAGTGAGAACAACAGTAGAATTATGAAAGATTATTGGCAAAGATAAAGGGCTTTAATTAATGTTTTGTTACCAACAACTTGGACAGAACAGAGAATGTTATACTGTTCAAGGAGACAAAGACCATGATGGTAATGAAATAAGAAACAGAAACAATGAAAATGATAAATATTGCTTCAGTGACTTTCCAAATTTTTTAAAATACAAAGTACTAATTTTTTCATATGCAAATAAAATGAATAATAATAGTTGACTTAAAGTCTAATTTTTTTCAAAGAGCAAACAAAGATCCCAAAATTGAGAGTTAACTTATATTTGGACCAATACGGTATATTCAGTTGTTGTTAAGTGTAGTTATATATCAATGAGATACTAAATAAAGATTAATTACTCTTATAACTGAAATTGCATTAAAAAATTATAATTGCATTTTTTAAAATATTTTGATATTAAGATTAAATATAATTTAAATATATTACAATCTGAAAATTGTTTTTTAATATTAAAAAGTCTATCAAAGAATTATAACATATATTCCTTTTATAAATAAAATGTTAAATTTAATACCTTCAATTGTTTTTGTAGCTGTAAGAGCATAAGTATCTTCTAATTCATTACTAGGTCCCATTTCATCCCAACATGCTCCAAAGTTTGGTTTCAAAATTCTTTGCACATGATCAGCAATAGAGACTTCTAAATCTTCCAACTAATTAAAAATACATCTTTTGATTAGATTTAAAATTTTAAAGACAATCTTTGATCATTTAGAGTTAAATTTTTAAAAATTAATTGACCATTCTTTTTATTTAAGGAAGTAGGAATAAATAGTTCATCAATGCTGTAATTGTAATCAGTACAGACATTGCTGGCTATAAAAAAAAAATACAAAAAAAAAAAAAAACAACTAGAGGTAACAAAGCTGAATGTATAGAATACATAGCTTATGTTACAAGGATAAAATGATTAAAAATACAAGCTGCTTATTTATACTTCCAGAGTATGACTTATTCAGTATCTTGTGTAGTCACCCTGGGCAACAACGTACAGTACTAACTACTTGCTCTGGCAATCAGAGGAGAGATGTTTGACGTGTTTCAGGAAGTACATATAGTTTCAGTTTATTGCCAAAGTTCTGTAGTCGCAGCTGGTGGTGTCTGGTTTGCTAGTCATTATGAGATCATTGACCATATTTGTTCTATGAGCAACAAATCCCCTGAATGTGCAGGCCAAGGATATGGAAGATGGTAACTATCCAGAAATTGCTGGACATTGCATATCACATGTGGTTGTGCATTATTGTGTTGGTAAATAGCACCAGAGATCCTGAAAGTAACGTTAGTACCTTACCTTCAGGGCATCTCTGGTGCTATTTACCAACACTAGTTCCTCAGGCTCCAACACTTCATTGATATAACGCTTGTTGGTCAAAGTAATGCATATGAGGTACAAGTGGAAGTGAATTCCAATGACACTCATACTATAATACTAGGTAACAGATTGATATGGCACCAAATTATGTAGGCATGTCTCAATAAGCCTGTTTTGATGGTACTGCAAGATACAGATTTGCCCATCATGGTGCTGCATTAGCATATTGTAGCAGTATTCATGTGAAAAAATAATGTGCTTTCATCCATTCATTCATAAATGCTTATGTTGTAGAGTCAATGGAAGCCAAAGCAATGGGTGCCTAGAAAAAATGCTCCAATGCTGAGATGAATTTTAACAGTATGTGTGGACACTAGTGCAAACTACTGAGTCAAGGTTGAAGTATGTGTATGATCATTTAGTGCCAAGTGTATGGTATATCTGTCCTCTCATTCATTAGTGTGACAGAATCACTGAGATTCCTCATATCAGCAAGTTAATTGGTACCATATTCTCATTTCTGTAATTACATTTGATTCAATATAAGCACCAATCTTCTGGAAGGATAATTAGACATGATACAATACTGAATTCTGCTGATATGATCTAATACCATAATTTTCCAACAGATCTGATACAGTGGTGCCTCGCATAACATATGCCTCGAATAATGGACGCTGTGAACAACGGACTTTCTGTTTGGCCATTACGTGACTGGAGCAACGGACTGGCTGAGAACAACGGACTTTCTGCGAACAAGTACGAATGATGTTTCCACTCTNAAAAAAAAAAGACCGCATTTGCAAGTTTTAAGCATTGATATACCTATCCAAATGGAACCAAGTTCCATCTGTGTGCAGTACCAGTCGTCAAGTTCTTCCTTTCCAAAAACCAATGGCGACATCTCAGTTGCTTGCCATAATCTGAATAGCTGGTATATTATGCTAATTTTGTGTGCATAAAGTTTCAACATTTTATATAAGACTTTCTGTGCACTTTTGTATAACAACATGCTCTGGCTAGCAAGCTGCCAGTGAGACTGTATCAGATTGACATTGAGAAGGTATTGAATGTGCATACAACTTCTCTGAATACACTCGGTCACTTCCTCATCTTGCCATCTGCAAGATTCCTGCCTATCTTGAACTCGTAAAGGGGTCTGATGGTTGACTTGTTTGGATACCACTACATCACTGTACATGTAAATTCTATGATAGTAGTGTAAATATGACTCCATGTTCAACAATGAAGATAACACACTGTTAGAAACTGAAAACCGTCATGCTGTTGTCTACTTAGGTTCCATAACAGTGCAGTGGCGTACAATCACTGCCATTGCAAATTATGCGTGTGACGAATAGAATATTGATACCATCAGAAATACGTAAGCCCGAAATGTGTACAGTATTCTGTATTCTTGGATTGTGTAATTTTCTTGATTACCAATTAATTTGTTTTTGTTTTAAATTTGTTTTTGCATTAGGAATATTTTTCCTTTATTTTGGATCACTGAATTCGGGCGAAATTCCATTAGATCACGATAACTTTAATAAAAGGATTTTGATGATTTTTTTTTCCTCCCATTAGGTTTTCATGTTTGGTACACTTAGTGAATGGCTACATATTTATAACTACTACTGGTATATCATATTCTGGGCTTTAACAGGTCTGCTGCAATCTACAGGATGGCCTACTGTGGTAGCAATCATAGGTAACTGGTTTGGAAAATCAAGGTAATATATTTTCTTTAAAAAATAGTGATGTGCTAATATATATAATTTGCTTATTTTTTTAAATAAAATATTTCTTAAGTCGAGGTTTAGTTATGGGATTTTGGGGTTCTTCACCTTCTGTTGGAAACATAATGGGAGCTTATATCGCAGCAGCGGTATTACATTATGGCTACGAGGTAATTAATGCTGAATGTTTACTTTTGTGTTATAATTTATTTAATCGTTAAAAATGTAATCAGAAATTTTTATTTTTAGTATGCTTTCTTAATACCTGCTGCTATGACTTTTGCTGGAGGAATCATTGTTTATTTCAGTATTGTTTCATCACCAAGAGAAGTTGGTAAAAAAAGCTTGTTAATTAGAAGATTCCACACTTTTTAAATCAATGATATAATTAAAATTCAATTTACATTAGGTTTACCTGAACCAGAAGAAGGAGAAACTAAAAATACAGATAAAGAACCATTATTAAATCCAGAGTGTGCAGCAATTAACGAAGATTCGGCTCTCTTGTTGCAAGACGAAAGTCTTCAAATTAGGAAACCAAAGGCTATAAATTTTTTCAAAGCTTTCTTACTTCCTGGTGTTCTACCTGTAAATAACTAAAATAATAATAAGTGAATTCCTTACTTTACTGCAGCAATAATAACAACTTCCATTCTTTACAGTATTCCTTGTCCTATGCATGTTTAAAAATGGTAAATTATTCATTTTTCTTTTGGCTTCCATACTATTTACAAAAAGCTTACGGTTGGGAAGAAGCTGAAGCAGACAGCTTGTCGGTGTGGTATGACATTGGTGGAATAATCGGTAAATATGTGCAAGATTTCTTACTTACTTAATTTTCACAAAAGCTTCTTATAATAATAAAATAAAAATCTTTTCGTAGGTAGCATCATAGGTGGAATCATTTCTGTGAGTTTATTTAAAAACGAAACTTGAATTATCTCAATCTGCATTTTCTGTAAATCTTGATATTTTTGTATGCAGGACAAATTAGGCACCCGATCACCAGTTGTTGGATTTTTATTATTATTAAGTCCTGGATCGCTGTATTTATATTACGGTAAGCCGTTAAATTATAAATTCATAATAGATGTGGAAGCTTTACATGATTTATTGTAAACAGTTTCTCCTGCAAACAAGATAATAAATGTCTTCCTGATGAGTGTAATGGGCTTCTTCATCGGGGGTGCTTCCAATTTGATAAGTACTGCCATATCGGCCGACCTGGGTCGTCAGAAAGAATTTAGTGATAATAAAGAAGCTTTATCCACTGTGATAGGTATCATTGATGGAACTGGAAGTGTGGGAGCAGCAATTGGTCAGGTAAATTAATAATTAGTACCATCTATTTCATATAAAAATACATAATTCTGACCATCCAATAAATTTTTCAACAGACTGTTATTTCTGTTATTCAAACCAATTTTAACTGGAAAGTTGTATTTTATCTTTTTATTGCTATGGTAAGTATTTTTACATTTTCCTATTCAAATATGAATTCACTGAGTATGTTTTTTGTCTTTTAAAGGTCATCTTGACGCTAATTTGTATAATAAAGATTGTATATAGGGATACAAAACTTTTGTTTCAAAGATGGAAGAATCAAATAGCTCTGCGCCTACGACAAGACTAAATCAGAGCATAAAAACTATCTGCCAATAATTTAATTGTAAAACAAAGTAATCTGGTATATATTTTTACAATGTGTTAAAATCTCGACATTATTGTCAATAAAAAAATTATTTTTAGTTTATTCTGAATTTTTTATATAGAAAAGACAATCATGTAAGTGAAAAATAAACGAGTTTTTAAAACAATTTGTTTCATACTTAATTTCACTTTATTCCATAATTTGAAACTAATTATATATCAAGGTTTTCTGATGTGTAATAGCAGATTATTAAATGGAGATTTAAAAAAAAAACAAATGAAATCAAAATGATCTTTGTGCAAAATCTGTTCAGTTCTGTAAGATGAAATTTGCATCCAATTACTCTAAAAGAATAATTCCAATCTTGAAAAGAGAGAAATCCCCTGTATTACACATCGAAAAATTCAATAATAATAAATTATTAATAAATTGGCAATATAATCTGCAATAATAAAATTTTTGGGAGTTGGATATTTATAGAACAGTCTGTCTTTCTCAAAGACAGACGACCGGCCAATCTTACACTTTAGTTTTGATCCCAATATTTCACAAAATTGTCCTTGAGGCAATTAAAACTGGCACTTCTTAACCGATCGCCGAAGCGACCACTTCACTGGCATTGGGATTCGTGCTCCTCACCGCCAAATTCATAGTCACGCCGTCCACACTTACTGCCAACTTAGATCTCACTAAGACATCACTGCCACCTCTGTATATACCGGCAAGATAGAGTGTATGAGAACTTTTTCCTTCTGGAACTTTATCCGATCTTTCACATGGCTGCATTCCAAGAAACAAAATTATGTTCTTTACAGCATCTGGAAAAAAATATATAATCAGGGCTTTAGCACTAAGTGATAAGATTAATACAGGTATCACTTGCTAACACGGAATTTGATTAACACTGTAAAATTAATTGTAGCAATTCCTTTATATAAAACCAGAAATTTTTATTAATGCAGCTTTAACAGCTTACTTAACATAGAAAAACATATCTAGTATTGGCAAATTTGCTATTTTAGTGATGAGGGTGATTTCTGATACAGATATGTAGTTCAATTATGATAGTGATGAAATTTCACACACTACTGCTAATGAGATATTGTATTTTTTTGTTTAGAAGCTTATTTTAAAACATTACTTAACATTTCAATTTTGATTTTACACAAACAAAATGTCTGCAGATAATATGCATATTATGTATGCTTTTAAGGTTTCATAAAGGATATAATGCTACATAAACAGTAAAAAATACTCATGGTATATGGGGAAGACTCTCCTAAACATTGTGAACATGAAACACAATGAAAATAAAAAAAACACAAATGTGGTTTTGAGTTTCAGGAAATTTTAAACTAAAGGATATAAACTGTATAGGGGGCACCTAAAAGCTGTTGAAGAAAAAATTCGGGAAGAAGTTGAAAAAATCGACAAACAACAACTTGTGAACTTGCAACAAATCTTTGGGTATGTTTGTAAAGGTGAACAAGTTAAATGCATTACTAACAAGTCAGTCATAAAGTACAAATTCCATTCAGTGCAAATGCTCGATATTGATGACATTTCAAACGAAATTCAGGAAGGAACGAGTTAGCTTACTTTGTTAAGAAAATGGCACCCGGTGATATTAATGTATCTAAATCTACTCGAGCGTTTAAATTTTGGATTAAAATGTGAAATGATAGATTGCTTCAGGAGGACAGTTATTTCTAAGAAAAATATTTTGGATAAGACTGCAATAGTAATATTCATATCTTCAATTTTAGGAACTGCCATTTTGTTGGAAATAAATTGGTCAAAATGTCTGATAAAAGTAAGAATAATGATGACATTCTCATTTAACTCTTTCAACTTTATGAACTTACCTTACCCTTTCACAAACAAGATGCTTTTTTTCCCACCTAATGCATGCAGAACACAAACAAACTGGATAGAGTATAATTTTGTCTGACAAAGGTAGGCACTACAGTTTCATTTTATCTTTAAATTAGTTACTCATTTTTTATCATAATATTTGTTATCTGTAAAATGTTTTCTATTTTAATTTTCTCATTAACTTAAAATTTGTTCTACCGTGTTTCCCTGAAAATAAGACATCCGCAGAAAATAAGACCTAGCACAGATTTTGCTGAATTGCGAAATATAAGACCTCCCCCCTGAAAGTAAGACCTAGCGAAGTTTTTTTTAGTCCTAACGGTCATCAACAGATGGTTGAAAGTGGCCATTGGCTTTTTGAAAGTATAGCCACTGATTGGTCAGCAGACAATTACGCCACACGGCATGATTTGCATAAGACTATGGCTTGGGAATCACAGATTTGCATAACTTTATGGCTGGGGATGGCTAATTGGTCAGCCGGGAATCACGCTACATGACATTTGCATAGTGCTACGGTTCAGTAAGCACTAATTGGTCATCGAGTCCAATGTTGACGCTATAAAAAGGTGACAGTTTGACACACCGGATATACATCACTCTCATCTAAGTTCAACTTGAGAATTTTTTTGTTCAATAATAAATGTGAATTCTTCTTTCTGGAAAAAATAAGACATTCCCTGAAAATAAGACCTAGTGCATTTTTCAGAGCAAAAATTAATATAAGACACTGTCTTATTTTCGGGGAAACACAGTAGTGGGTGGCAATTGTTTGGTTGAGTACTGAAGTATCGCTGTATTTGATTAACACAATTTTGATATACACAGTAATATCAAGGGATACATGTACTTCTAGAGAATTGTATTTAACATACTCCACATCAATCTGAAATTATAAATACAGTAACTAAGAATCACTTTTTATAATTTTTGACTCATTTTGTGCTGTGCCAATTACAGACATATTAAACTTGTTTGTTTGATATATTGGTTATCCCTAGAAACCCCACTTCTAGAATTTTTTACACTACTGCAATTTTCTGACAGCTGGGGAAATTATTATATTTAAAGAAGTAGAGTTGATGATTATAATTAACAAATACCAAATTACTGATATTCATGAAACATTAATTAATGACAAAAGTCAATATGTTATTGGTTTCAGTATTTATCAAAATTCTGGTTTAGCTCAGCTCTACTAGCTACTCTTAACATAAGAATTTTTAATTACTTATGTTTGGTCCTATAACAATTCATATGTAAAAGTAATAATGAATGGGAAAATCATGATGTCCAATACAAATATATTTTATTTCATATTTTCCATATCAAATATAGCAAAAAGACAGTTTAAAAATATTAGGCAAAGAATTCCATTTAAGTATCTGAATTAAGAACTCCAAAAACAGTAAAGAAAAATAAGAAGTTGACTTAAAACACTATTTTGAGCTTTACAACAAATAAATATGAAAATTAGCATTAAAAAAAATGTGTTATTTAAACTCAAATTATACAATATTTTAGCATAATTATTCAGCTGATATAATAAATTGTATTAAATATCACAAGAAACAATTTCCTATTTTAGAGTATAGCCAAAAAATGCACAGTTATTAACAAAATTTTTAAAGAATCAGAGCTAAAATTTTGGAGGGATGGGTAAGTGCATTTTAAAAATTCTGATTTACTCCGAAATCTTTTCACAGATAAAAAATTTTAACACATGATCCTAGAGAAACAAATTAATATCAATTATGTTTGTTTTAAATCATCTAAAGCTTCTTCAGGATTAAATCTTAAAACTATTTGAATTCAATCAATCAAATAAAATAAATAAAAATTATATATAATTTTGAATAGTTATACTAAATAAGTACATTAATCCTTCAATGTGTGTGAGTCTTATTTAAGATGTACATAGTTGATACGAAAGTGCACTTCATTATTCTCTATTCATAGCAGATGTCATCACCTACATGTGAAGTGGCCTCCCTGTTTTTAACAATTTAGTTGTTTGAGTTCTTTAGTGGTATAGTTTCTGCAGTGTATTTGCTGATATGCACCTTGCAATGTTAGTATAATTTGCATTTACTTTTTTATTTATTTTTTAAATTTATTTCAAAGAGTAGCTTTCTCTTTGTTAAATAAAAAGAATTTAATTTTATTTTATGCAATGTTGGAGGTTTCGATAAATTCTTCCTTATATTAGTTTGAAAATATGGCAAACACAGCTTTCAGGATGCCTTTTTTTTTTTTTTTTGATGTTTTTCAGTCTTGTAAAACTTTGATCCAGTATTTAGATGGAACTTTATAACAAGTTGTAAGGGACATTTTTAAAGAGTCAGAAGAGACTGATTATGATACTGAAACTGAATCACAGGAATAGGAGACTATAGAAGATAATCACGACAGTAATTCCAATCAACTGATGAGATTTATTTTTGTCTTCTACAAGAAATTCATATTAAAACAAAATTAATCTGTCAAAAATGTGGTAAAAATGTCTGCAAGATAAAGTCATATAATCACTAAATATGCTATGTGTGGAGATAAGTTGTTATTAATACTTTTACTTAACTCTCTCAAAACAGATTTTTTTTCAGTATATCCCCTCCTCAGCCAATAGTCATTTGACTTGTGAGACTGGAATGAATTTCCTAACTCACCCATAACTTATTTAGGAACATTTCAATTTGTATTTGAGTAGTTAAGTATATTGATGTGAGGTTTACTGATATTAATAAACAAAATTTTAAGAAATGAAATAATATACTTGTACTGTACATTCAATTATTTTAAATAATGAAATGAATAATAAGGAATATTTAAAACAAAATGTAACAAGGAGCACGTGATATACAAATCAACAATCAAACTCTAAACAGACGATAGCAAACTCAATTTAGCCGCTCTGTAGCGTGGCACAGGGTCGGAGGTAAGTAGTTCGGCTGCTCATCCACTATTGGTCCAGACTCTATCAATCTTCTCACGAAATGACATTATAGGAGGTACGTTATACGAAAGTTTCTACAATTTTTTTGCTACGTTATAGGAATTGTCGTTATAGGAACGTACGTTATAGGGGGGGGTCGACTGTATTTATTAGTTAGTTACTTGTTAGGCCTACAGGTTTCTCATTGGACTCCACAATCTACTAAACTTCTACTTTATACTAAGGAGTCTCCACTAATCAAAAATTTGAGAAAAGGTTGCTGGAAATTTGTGAAATTTATTCTGTTGTAAAGTGTAAATTTCTATTGTAATTATAATCATATATAAATACATAAATTTATATATTTAGACTTTATAAAAATTAAGACAAGCAAAAACAAAAAACAAAAGTTTCATTTTCAAGAATCATAAAACTGCAAGTGCATTTCTAAGAATGTGTGTGAAATACAGAAGGAAGCCTACTACTCAGCACAAATGACATTGTCTCAATTTTGCTCTATAACTTTTATTTTTATTGATATCAACAGAAAATAAGCAGTAAGTTGCAATTTGTCACTTATAGGCCTTCATATATTTCTTTTTATAAAACAAATCCTTTGAATACAATTTCTGTTCAAGAAAGTATGATTTAAATGTAATTTGTACACATTACTAATAAAGCAATCCAAAATTTATTTATGCTGATTGATTTCTGGGGAAGACTTAATACAAGTTTCTAAAATAATTTATTTTTTACAAGTAAAGTAATTTTGAAAAGAAAAATTGTAATTGAACACAACTAATTTTCATAATCAACTGCCTAGATAAAAAGTAACAATTCCATATATTCTTGCAAAAGTGAGAACAACAGTAGAATTATGAAAGATTATTGGCAAAGATAAAGGGCTTTAATTAATGTTTTGTTACCAACAACTTGGACAGAACAGAGAATGTTATACTGTTCAAGGAGACAAAGACCATGATGGTAATGAAATAAGAAACAGAAACAATGAAAATGATAAATATTGCTTCAGTGACTTTCCAAATTTTTTAAAATACAAAGTACTAATTTTTTCATATGCAAATAAAATGAATAATAATAGTTGACTTAAAGTCTAATTTTTTTCAAAGAGCAAACAAAGATCCCAAAATTGAGAGTTAACTTATATTTGGACCAATACGGTATATTCAGTTGTTGTTAAGTGTAGTTATATATCAATGAGATACTAAATAAAGATTAATTACTCTTATAACTGAAATTGCATTAAAAAATTATAATTGCATTTTTTAAAATATTTTGATATTAAGATTAAATATAATTTAAATATATTACAATCTGAAAATTGTTTTTTAATATTAAAAAGTCTATCAAAGAATTATAACATATATTCCTTTTATAAATAAAATGTTAAATTTAATACCTTCAATTGTTTTTGTAGCTGTAAGAGCATAAGTATCTTCTAATTCATTACTAGGTCCCATTTCATCCCAACATGCTCCAAAGTTTGGTTTCAAAATTCTTTGCACATGATCAGCAATAGAGACTTCTAAATCTTCCAACTAATTAAAAAGACATCTTTTGATTAGATTTAAAATTTTAAAGACAATCTTTGATCATTTAGAGTTAAATTTTTAAAAATTAATTGACCATTCTTTTTATTTAAGGAAGTAGGAATAAATAGTTCATCAATGCTGTAATTGTAATCAGTACAGACATTGCTGGCTATAAAAAAAAAAATCAAAAAAAAAAAAAAAAAAAC